TACCCATTTTAACAATGTTAATTCTTCCAATTCAAGAGCATGGGATATCTTTCCATTTCTTTGAATTGAGATTTTCCCCTCTTTTTTTTTTTTTTTTTTTTTTTTTTTTTTTTTTGCGGTACGCGGGCCTCTCACTGTTGTGGCCGCTCCTGTTGTGGAGCACAGGCTCCGGACGCGCAGGCCCAGCGGCCATGGCTCAGGGGCCCAGCTGCTCCGCGGCATGTGGGATCCTCCCGGACTGGGGCATGAACCCGTGTCCCCTGCATCGGCAGGCAGACTCTCAACCACTGCGCCACCAGGGAAGCCCTCCCCTGCTTTTTGAACGTTCGCTTTATTCCACTTTGCTTTTACGAAAGACTTGCATTGGTACTTGTTTCCGCTAACCAAAATAAATCCAAAGAGAATTTTTGCTCTTATGAAAAAAGGTGGAAAGCGAAAAGAGCATTCAGTGTTTGTTTTGCAGGGAGCCATTACAGAGGCAGTGGGTACCCCGAGAGTGGCACCGCCAAGCTCCTTCCCCGGGAACGACACAGCATCTCAGCATCACGCTGCTACAGCTCTGAACTCTGTCCGTGAGCATTTGTGCTTTATTTCAAATTACTTTACACATCCGTTAGCAAGATGTGTCCTAAGGTAATTGCTTCTTTGACTTAACGCCATTTTGGCTTGTGAAAAATGTCATAGGAACACTCTACTTTTGGGATAGCGCGGGTCGGGGAGGGGGGACCCGCACTGTTTTCCAGATTAAGCTAGTCCAGTTGGTGGATCTCTGCCCAGGCCCTACTGGAAGCCAGAGGGAGGCCCTTTGCAGTGGAGCCTGTGCTTTGGGATACATATCCTACTTCCTCTATACCGAAAGAGTCATGATTTCTCAATTTTTAGGGTGCTGCGCCAAGCTCTACCTTTTAAAACTGGTTTTTCCATCAACACACTCATCAACAGACTGAGTACGCTCTGAATGTACAGCCCCTTAATGGCTGGAACCTGGAGGCAAGGTCATCTTCTTGCCTCCTGGCTTTAATGCTGGTGTTTTATTACCACTGCAGTTGAATTTTTTTTTCCCAAAGGCTAACACTTAATGACATCCTTTGTTTCCTAAGCCTTTTTAAAACAAAGGGAGAAACGTTGCTATCAGGGAGGCGCTAAGAGAAAGCAGGCAGCCTAATAGTGAGGCTTTTGTTGTCTCCAGCAGGGAATCTGAAAGGTGCAATGGACTTTGGCCACTGTAATAATAATCTGCAAGTCTTTATTGCTGCTCCAGTGGAGTATCTGAAACTACTGCCGACTCGAAATAGAATTATGGGAGAATTTCAGAGCTGTCTAGGACCTCTGAGGTCATCACGTCAAAACTCTAATTTTTGCAAAGCAGCCCTGGAGTCTGGGTGAGTCGTGTGGCGCTCGCAGTGCACACGCTCCTAGGACAAAAGCCCAGACTGTGTTTGGTCGACTTCCGTTCTTGCCAATGCACTGCGTTGCTTAACCAATAAAACAAGGTTAGATAACAAGGTGACAAATGCAGCTAAAATTATATTTTGTGTGTAGGTAAGGACAGTACCTATTTTTCGGAGCTCGTGGAAACTTCATTGTTTCTATCAAGCCATCTCTTTCATAACTTTTCAACTACACTTCCCATGTGCCCTACTGGGTTCTGTGTTCTTGTGAGATCACTTACCCCTACTAAGGCAGTGGTTCACAGCCCTGGTTCCACACTAGACTCACTTAGAGGACGTTTAAAAAATACACATGCCTGGGACACCCAAGCGACTCTGATTTAATTCCGTACCAAGTACCGGGAGTCAAAAAGGCCCGTCTCTCAGCCATGCCTCTGCCACCAGCCATGAGACCCTGGCGGTGTCAGGTTGTGCGAGCACTTTTTAATTTGTTGCTAAGAGCTTTGTTTTCAGAATGGATACACAGTAAGAGTAGTCAAAATGATGGGCATGACTCCAAGTTTTCTGCTCCCCACCCAGTGCAAAAATGTTAAATAACTAAAATGATTCCTATCCAGAGGAGGGAGAAGTGTAATTTCTGAAGCGATTCACACCTCATTTTCCCCAGCATAGACTTCTACTTTCATTAGCTTTAACGGGGCCATTCAAGAAGGGATGACATTGTAAATCAGTTATACTCTAATATAAAATAAAATTTTAAAAAATAATAATTAAAAAAAAGAAGGGATGACTGCAGAGGGGTTAAACTTTGAAGCTTTCAGAATGTTATTCAGGAAAGGTTTTTAAAAACAAGAGGCAAGCAGAACACTGAACTTGATTCCAGTGTCTAGATTTATAATCTAAAATTTTTATTTTCATAACATTTTCAAAAATTGTGAGCATGGGTTTTTATTATATGGTAAACTGTGTGTGGTCTGTGTGTGAGGCTGGTCTTGTGAGATAAGACTGTGGTACCCTTTTCCTTTTTTTAAAAAATAATATTTATTTATTTATTTGGCTGCGCCGGGTCTTACGTTGCGGCACGTGGGATCTTTGTTGCGGCATGCGGGATCTTTTAGTTGCGGCACGCAAACTCTTAGTTGTGGCATGTGGGATCTAGTTCCCTGACCAGGGATCAAACCCGGGCACCCTGCATTGAGAGGGTGGAATCTTAACCACTGGACCACCAGGGAAGTCCCATTACCCTTCTTTTTCAAGATGGCAGTCACTTTCTTGGCTTAATTGATTGTAAAAGTAATGCATGCTTGTAAAAAAATGACACTACAAAACAGAAAAAAAACAATGAATGTCACCTGTTCCCCTCCCCTACTCACTATAGAAATAATATAAGGCTAGCATTTTGGTGTTTAACCCCCCAGACTTTGGGCTCCATATGATTATGTGTATTCAATAAAGTGGGATTCAACTATACAAACTATTCTACTAAAAGCTGCATTGTTTTCAATGGAACAAAATGACCTGGGGCATCTTTCCATGTCAAATACATAGATTTACTTCATTCTTTTAATAGCAACACAGTATTCCTTTGAATTCTTAGGTATATCAATAGTCTTCTCAGCTCTGTAAAAGCTTCATTGAGATTTTAATTGTAATTGACTTAAACTCATAAATTAATTTGGGGGAGAAATGACGCTTAAAAAATACTGAGATTTTCATCAAGTAACATGGTATATCTCTCCATTTATTTACAGCTTCTCTTTGGTCTTTCAGTAAGATTGTATATTTTGCTTCATATATATTCTATGTATTTATTAAGATTAAATACTTAACTAGAACTTCTGAATAATGGTGACCAAAAGCATGCATAGTGAGAATCCTTATGTTGTTCCTTGATTTATTGGTAACGCTTCTATGTCTGGCTGTTAAATATATTCGCTATCAGTTTTTTTTGTTCCTGGCCGCACCGCAAGGCATGCAGAACTTTCCCCACCAGGGATCGAACCCATGCCCCCTGCAGTGGAAGCATGGAGTCTTTCTTTTTTTTTTTTAATTTATTTTATTTATTTATTTTTGGCTGCACTGGGTCTTCGTTGTGTGCGGGCTTTCTCTGGTGGTGGCGAGCAGAGGCTACTCTTCGTCATGGTATGCAGGCTTCTCATTGCAGTGGCTTCTCTTGTTGCGGAGCATGGGCTCTAGGTGCGTGGGCTTCAGTAGTTGTGGCACGTGGGCTCAGTAGTTGTGGCTCACGGGCTCTAGAGCGCAGGCTCAGTAGTTGTGGCGCACGGGCTTAGTTGCTCTGTGGCATATGGGATCTTCCCAGACCAGGGCTCGAACCCGTGTCCCTGCATTGGCAGGCGGATTCTTAACCACTGTGCCACCAGGGAAGTCCCTGTTATCAGTTTTTGATAGATACAATTTACTGGATTAAGAAAACATCCCTCTATTTCTGGTTTACTAAGAGCGTTTTATTAAAAACATTTAAGACCATCTATTAAGATGATCAAATGCAGTTTCTTCCCTTTCACCTAATCACACAAAGCAGTACGTTAAAACTTCCATCTTCCAGTAAGCTCTCCTGCTCTTGTTGTGTTAGTCTTTTAATGCAATTTTTTGGATTCGATGTATTTATATTTTACTTAGGATTTTTTTGGCATGTGTGTATATTCATAAGAGATTGGTCTATGGTTTTCTTTTTTATGTGGTGGAAGATTTTGACATCAGGGTGGTAAGAGCCTTAGAAAATGAACTGTGAACCTTTACCTCTTTCAGTGCTCTAGACTAGGGTTTGGCAAATGGCCAAATCAAGCCAAACACCTGTTCTTGTAAGTAAATGTGGGATATTCATTGCCCATTTGTTTATCTATTGTGTACGGTTGATTTTGTGCTGTAACGGCAGAGCTGAGGAGTTGTGACAGAGACCATCTGGCACACGATGCCTAAGATATTTACTCTCTGGTCTTTTGCAGAAAAGGTTTGTCAACCTTCCTCTAGAATGGTTTAAATATCATAGAAATTATGTGCTACTTGGAGTTTTATAGGACTACTGTATGAAACCATCTCTAACTAACCCAAACCCTGTTCTCCTTCACATTGGACAATTTTCCCAATCTCCTTGGTTATTTACTTATTCAGGTTTCCTCCCTTTCTTTGAGCCAATCTGGCTCATTAAATTTTCCCTGGAAATCATCCTGTCATTCAGATTTTCACATTTATTATCGTAGTCTCTTACAAGTTTAGCAATCTGCTTTGTATATGTCATTAAACCCACATTTATACATTCAACGCTGTATATCTGTAATTTCTCTTTATTTTTTCCAGGAGACTAGTCAGAGTTTGTTTATTTAATTGGTCTTTACACAGAACCAGGTCTTGGTTTTAGTTATCAAACACAGTTTTTAAAACTGTTTTTTGTTTTGTTTTGTTTTTTGCGGTACATGCGGGCCTCTCACTGCCGCGGCCTCTCCCGTCGCGGAGCACAGGCTCCGGACGCGCAGGCTCCGCGGCCATGGCTCACGGGCCCAGGCGCTCCGCGGCACGTGGGATCTTCCCGGACCGGGGCACGAACCCGCGTCCCCCGCATCGGCAGGCGGACTCTCAACCACTGCGCCACCAGGGAAGCCCTAAAACTGGTTTTCAGTACTTTGATTTCTCCTTTTATTTTTATGAATTCCTTCTTCCTAAGGTTTATTTTATCCTTTTTCTTCTCCCATGATCTATTGCCAATTCATTTATGTTCAGTTAAAGGTGAAGAAGTTTTCTGAGTATGGCTTTGATTAGATCAAAATAGTGTTCTCACTGTTACTGGTATATCTGTTAGTTCCTAGTTGGCATATGCCACCTTAAGATGATTGGGAAAGTATATACCTTTAATTCTTTCTGCCTGATTTTTGTGTCTTATGTCAATCTTCTATCCCAAATTATGGTTAATAATACCAGATATCTGTAGTTTGCTGAATTCTGGTGTGTCATGCACTCTCAATCCATAATTTTATTTCTTCCTCAAGACACCCCTATCGGTTGGTACAATGATTCTTATATTACAGACCAGAAAACGAAATCACAGAGCAGTTAAGTAACTCATATGAAGCCATGCAATCAGGCCACATGATCAGTAGCCCTGGCACTTGAAGTAAAACCCAGCTCCCTCAGCCTGCAAAGCTGCTGTTTTTTCCCATTGTGCCTTGTGGACCCATTTCCCCACTCTTATCTTCTCAGCCTTCCAATTCTTCTGTCCTCCAACTCCCTTGTCTTTTGCTCCTGCTCAGTCAGATGTTTTTAGCACATCAGACAGAGCATCACCTGAGAATCCATAGCTCTGTTACAATACAGTGTGGCATAGTGGTTACAGGCAAAGACTCTGGATCCAGAATACTTGGGTTCCCATCTTGCTGCTACACACCAGCTGTGCCATCTTAGGCAAGTTACTTTCTTTGAGAACTTCCCCTAGGGCTGCTCTGAGGATTAAAAAACTGAAACCATGTAAAGCACTTAGAACTGTGAATGGCCACATAAAAGCTAAAGAGAGCGCGGAGTTTCAGAACAGATCTCACCTCCCTAGCAGTAGAGGCTGGCTTAGCGTGTAAAAGAGAGGCAGGGAGGCCAAACCGTCCATGAGTGCATACTTACCAATATTCTTCTGGATCTCGATAACAAAGTGATTCTCTGGATCCTGGCAGCTAAAGGAAAAGACTACTGTCTCTCCGGCTTTGATGGACAATGGGGTTACCCGTCTTTTAGAAATGATGTGACATAGGTTCGCTGGCAGAGTTGGGGCCCCAGGCTTTATGAGGACTGTAATGTTGCTTCCATGTGGCAGAGCAATCTCATAAGTTTCTGAAGGAAGGAAGAAAAATGGAGTGAACAGGATGATTTAGGGCTGCCAACCTGCTGCCGTCCCCTCAGTTGGTCCAGGAGGATGACCTCCTTGACCCCTTTGTTCCTTCCCCCAGGTCTGAGAAGTGGGATGATGCAAAATGAAAGTATTATCCTCACCTGTGGGCAAGAACCCAGCCACTGAGGGCTGGGCATTGACCCGCATCTCTTATTTGGCTGATTAATTTTTCGAAAAATTAAAAACACTACACCACATCCTAGGTGTCTGGAGCAGTATGTTTTCAGATACCCATCTGTGCAATATTAAATAGAGAGAAACTGCCACATCTCTTCACAATGTGACTATAGGTGAAAGTCCACACACAGAAACCATCTTTCTGTAGAGAGACACGCTTATCTGTAAAGAGCTGCTGTCCCTTGCCCAGGCCACTTCATATGCCCTGTACACACATACACAGTAGTAGAGGCAGTAGTAGAGGCCGGGAAAACTTGCAGAAATTAGATACAAACGTATTGTGTCAGTGAACGTGGAAAGTTAAAGCCAAACAACGCTAATACCTCAGACTGGGGCTCAGCAAAATTATCTGAACAAACATTATCAAGCAAGAGAGATGGAGGTTGGTTACTAAACAGAGGGGTGGGTGCACACCAGTGGGGACGGGGCCCTGATTCACAAACAAGCCCAATCTCCTTCCCATTCCTTTTGCTTTATGGATTTTTAGGTCCTCTCAGACCAAAAGGAAGAGCTACTTTTCCTCTAAGTAGCCACTGTCCCTTCCCTGACTTGGGTTCTGATTGTGGTCTCTGGGTGGCTGATGGGCTGGGAGCAGAGGATGGGAGGCCAGTTGTCTGGCGGAGGGAATCATGGGGCTCACAGAGAGGGGCTGGCGTCGGTGCCTCTGTCCCACCGTGTTCTGCACCAACAGCTGGTCAGCACCGGTTACGGCGCCTTGTGCATGGAGGTGCTTGGTAATTGTTTAGCCCGTAAATAGCAATTTAACCAAAAGCTTTACTTTTTCCCTTCCTTTAAAAATTTTTTAGAATCAAGTTTATTGATATAATTTACATACATTATAAAAGGACCTACTTAAGAGTTTTGACAAATGTGTGTACACATGTACACCACCACAGTCAAGATATAAAGATATTCATTACCCCGAAAAGTTCCCCCAGCGCCCTTTGCAGTCGACCTCCACTCCTGGCCCCAGAAAACTATAAATTAGCTTTGCCTGACTTAGATCTTCCTGCAAAACGGTGTGCTTACTTACTCCCTTTTGTACCTGGCTGCTTCTGCTCAGCGTGTTTGAGAGTCAACTGCATGGATCAGCAGTTTGTTCCCTTTTATTGCTGAGTAGTATTCCATTGTCTGGAGAGACTGCAATTTATTTATCCAGGCACCTGTTCAGTGACATTTGAGTTCTTTCCAGTTCTTGACCAACCTCGTGCTTTCATTTTTCCACAACTACTAGCCTGCTCGAGAGCTGTACTCACTTCTCCTCCCACTCAGTGCATGGGCGTGCCTGTGTTCCCACAGCCTAGCTGCTGTGTGCGATCAAACGTTTGGATTTTTGTCAACCTCCTCTTGTACCCCTCTACCCCACCATTCACTCTGCACCAGAGTGGCCAGCCGGCAGCTCTTTATATAGGGTGGAAATTGATCTCTCAACCTGTGATAATGAACTGCAAAAATTTCCTCCGGGTCATGAGGGAAGAACTTTACCCTCTTTGGGCCTCTGTTCCCTCATTTGTAAAATGAGGGGATTGGGCTAGAAAAGCTCTACCTTCCCTGCCAGCTCATCTGTCATCAGTATCCGAGGAAATAAGAAGCGATTTTGCAAATGTAAGCATTCCCAACTACGGCCCAGCAGCGACACATCTCTCAGAGCACAGGGGCACCAGCACAGCTGGCTTCGTGACTTTGTTTTCAAGAGGGCTCACGTTTGCATTTTTGGAGCAAGACTTCTTATGTCTCTAACCTCAGCTTGTAACCCTCTCCACCTTGGTCACTGTGCTTGGGCCATCTTTGCCTTCTTTCTTGAACATACCAACCTCAGGGCCTTTGCATGTACTGGTCCTGATTTCTAAAATGCTCTTTCTCTAGCAATAGCTGGCTCCTTTTTGTTATTCGGGTCTCAGCTCAAAGATCACCTCCTCAGAGCAGTCTTCCCCAACCAGCTACCCAAAATGCTCACCCCACCCCTACCCCAGCCATCCTGTACCTGCTTTCCCTTCATCCCTACTCTCTTCTCTGAGAGGACCCGTGTTATTTGTTCCCACCTCCCACTATCAGAATGCGAGTTGCTGCCTACAGGAAGGCAGCAGGAA